GCGCGGGGGGGGGGGGGGGGGGGGGGGGGGGGGGGGATGAAATAGTTGAAATAAATATGAAAACTTCCTTGAGACATTTTCTTAATTCTGTGCTTTTTATTTCATGGAGCACGAGAACTTTACATGAGGCCATTGTACTAACAGCCCCGAAAGATATGAAAAAATAATCTGACTCCTAATGTTGAACTACATTACTGACTAATAAAAAACTTTCCTTGCTCTTAAAATGTTTGTTCTAAAAAAGAGTTGAAAAGAAGTCATCTTTCGGCTCTTCCTTGGCCATAGAGAGAGCAGTGTCTGTCTGCTGCATTTGATTAGCGTAGGATCCTGCCGAGTTTCTGAAACCTGAGAATGCAAAACTGTCTGCATCCTGCAACTTCTGAAGGGTATATGGTGCCTGGTTCTTTGTTTGTGGTAGCCAGGTTGTTTGAAGTGAGTCGGGTCCTTTAGAATGGCTGCTCATGGCTGAAGGCCTAATGACCATGGGTGCATTGTTGCCGTTCATAGATGGTCTGGTGTAACTGCCGCTACCACGTGCTGCAGGAACATCGTGGTTGTGTTTTCCTTCGTAAGTAGTCATCACTGCCTTCATATCATGGGATGCTCGCTCTACATGTTTCCTAACGGGACATCCATTATATGTGCATTTGTAGTAGCTCCTGCATCAACACAACCACATCTTACATTAGGATTGTGTGTCTGTCTGAATTTTTCTGTATTTGATAATTATTTATGCTTACCTAGGATTTGGGTTGCCCCTAACAACTTTCTGTCCATATTTCCTCCATCTATAACCGTCATCTAGAATATCGATATCACTTGTGGTTTGAACTACGACTCTAGGTTCACGAACGGTTCTACTTCCTGCAGCTGGTATGCCCTCATATTCAACATCCCCCTTCCTGGAAATAGGATAACATTTTAAGATATTGGTTTCATTTATCGAATGATTTTCTCGTTAAAATGATTAAGTGCTATGCTTACCATCTCTTGGCTTCTGGTTCAGTTTCATTGTCATATCTTGAGTAACTCAGGGATGATCCTTGTTCAAAATCGTCATCGCCAAAAGAAGCAGATGAATTCTCGGAGGTTGTCAGAGACTCCATCTGAGCATTTTCATGAGATTGATTTGAAATTCCCGCATTATTATATGCAAGATTTTGAATCAAACTAGAAGATGATCTTCGAGTCGATTGAGGCTTGGGATGATTGTGACTTCCCCTATATACTATTTCAGTAATATGTCCGTCCAAGTTTTGCTCGATCTTTTTCTTCATAGGACAATTTGGAAACGAGCATTTGTAATAACTACGAGGATTTTCACTTCCCTTAACTTGCTTTTGTCCATACTTCCTCCAATTGTATCCATCATCTGATTTTTTCTGCTCCCTAACATACTGAGGTTGTTGAGCATTATGCATTTGACCAATCTGCATATTAGGATTGTTCTCTTGAGAAAAGCTTGGAATTTGAGCTGATTCAGATTTCACCCCAGCTTTTAGTTCTTCCTGTTGAACTATAATCATCAGCAACAATACAATAAGAATATATGATCATAAGATAAGCTAGAGAAGAACTTAAACATACCGATGAAGGTCTTGGGTCGGACTGGAAAGAAAAATCGGAATACTTTCTGCCCTCCACCTCGGAGGCCAGACCAGCGTAAGTCCCTGTAGTTGGAGATGGAAGAACCTGCACAAACATATCACCATAGAAATGTTCAATACACGATAAATAACTCGGAATAAAGGATAATTCAAGAAGATAGATAAATAGATACGTCCCATTAACGTATAAGAAGTGCTTACATTAGAAGACGAAAACAGTACAGGAGAGTTGAGCAGCACAGAAGGGCTGAAACTAGAATTAACAGCAAGATATGAAGAAGGAGATATAGGAGGAGGAGATATTGGTAAAGAATTAGGTTGAAATGACTTGTACTTCGGAATTTCAATATCAGAAATTCCCCAATTGAATGAAGATTTCTCCAAATTCATGTCTTCTTTGTAACCAAGAAGATCAGTGAAAGAAGTCATGTATCCAGTTGAGAAAGATAAGCTACCACCTGAAGAAGCCATTTTTAATGAGCCGCCGAGAGATTTATGAAGAAGAAAGAGTTAATATAGAGAGTTTATATAAGATTTTGCTTGGACTTGGATCTAAATTTAATGCTTATATGTTTTACAGCAGTATCAATCGAGAGGTCTTTCTGAGAAATTCATGAGAGTTTGACCGTGGAACAAAATTGTTGGTCAAACTTTGTGGGTTTGACCAATTCTCGACGGTTGAATCAGACAAGGAAGAGATGTTATTCTCTGTAGCTGGGTGCACCTGAACCCTTTGCAATAATATCTGCGTTTAAAAAATCTCGACATATGTTTAAGTACGATAATTTACAAGCTTGACTAACATGTCATGAACTATATTTAAATTTAATTTGATCTTGATTCAAAAACGATAAGAATTTCAAGATTAAACGATTCACGTTTGTTCTGGTTGATTGAATCAACTAATTAGGTCGATTTTCAAAATTTGAGTATAGTTTAACTAAGGGTCCGCTTGATCAAGATATGATTATTTGCGTCTTTTGATGAATTAGAAGTTTGATGGTGTTATTTTACTGTGGTTATATAGGCCAGCACACACAATAATTAATTCATGTTTTCGGTGGCAGCACGTGCTTATTCATCCTTCTTCCTTACCCTTTTTCCTTTTTTTAAAAAAATAAAATTATTTAATTAGTTGGACTTTTCGATTTCGTGATAAATAAGTCTCTCCTCAATTGACAAGATGGAGCGAGAGGGACACGAGGATGCATTTTGAAAAATCAGATAAGGGCAATTAGATTATTAAAATTATACTAAAGGTTCTTAATTTTTAATTATGGTTAAATTTATATCTCTATTAGATTGTTCTGTATAACCTTTCATTAAATAACAAATATTGTATTTAGTTATAAATTTTGTTCAACAATTATTAGCGCAATTTAATATAAACGACAAATATTTAGTCACTTTTGTATTTCGTATTTTTCTATATCTAAATATCTAATGAGCAAATAAGTCATTTTATACTTTTACAGTGCTTGTTTGGTGGGAATTTTGGAAATTGATTTTTGATCGTTAGAGATAAAGTGAGTCTTACCTGTAAAAGAATTCAAAATGACGACTAGAATAGTGAAATAACAGTCAAAAAAATAATTTTAATTGACTAAAAATTTGTGCCAAACAAACTGTTAATATAATTTTTGAAAGGAAATCATCATCACGGACTAAGTGTGCTAATTAATACGAGGTTGGTAATTAGAATACAATGAAAAAGTAAAGACATAAAGTCCTGTTTGGTTTAAATAAAAATCAAAATTTTAGTAGATTTTAATAAAAGTTAATTACATATGTGGTTCAAAATTTGTGGTTCTACAAAATGTGTGGTTAAAATTAATTGCTAATTTTGATTTAAATTTTAACAAAAAATTTCAATTGAACCAAACAGAGGCTAAATATGACAATAAGTAAAACTTAAGAACTTTTAATGTAGTTAAAATGTGTGCTCGTCAAATTTGTAATTGCATAAAAGCTTTTACAGATTCCAGGTAGAAATAGGGAAGATTGGTAAATTAATTTTTTTTTTTTTAAATTTACAAAATTTATATTATTTCTTTAATTGAAGATACAAATCCATATATTCTCAGCCCCGGTTCGATGGAGATCAAAATTAAATTTTTAATAAATTTTAATAAAAATTAATGAAATGTGCGGTTGAAAAGTTATTGATCTCATGAAATATATGGTTAAAATCTATTGTTGACTTTAATTTATATTTATATCTAGATTTTAATTAACCAAACGGGGACTTAGCCCTTGTTCGAGTCACATTATTTTCATAAAAATGTATTTTTTAATAGTGTAATGATGGAAAATGTGTAGTTAAGAAATAAGAAAAAAGTTTTGAATTTGCATGCAACATTATTTTATTGAAGAATATGCAGTTGAAATGATGGCAAATTACTATTTAAGAATATATTTTTTCTAAACAATGTGGATCAAACAGAGCCTTAATATGTCATAATTTTGTGTTGAAACTGCATTGCATCAACAAAAAAAAAATAAAAAAAATTCCTTTCGTGCCATAAAGTTAGGCCAGCTTTCTCTTTTCATTTATCCCAAATTTTAGATCACTTTCCTTGTTGAAAATATAGTTAATTTCTTAGATTTCTAATATGCAGATTTGATGTGTCTTGTCAATAAGTATGAACTATTATTCCATCCATTCCATAAAGATAAGCTTGGTTTCCTTTTTCGTCTATCTCAGATTATATGTCACTTTCCTTATTGAAAATATGGATATTTTTTAGTTTTCTAATATGTCTATATTTAATATACTTTGTTATTGATGAATATAAATTAATTCTATTTAAACCATTATTTAATATAGTGTTATATTAGGAGAAATATAAGAAAATATATATTTTCAACTATATTTATTATAATTTCTTAATCCATGTGAAAATAGGAAAAAAATCTATCTCTATATGTTGGAGGGAGTACTATTTAAAT